ATGTGTTTCTTCAGCCACTAATATATGAGTTGCAGCAACTATGGGCTCAAGGTGCTGAAACATACGATGTTTCGTGTAAGGAAAACTTTCAAATGCGGGCAGTACTTATGTGGACAATAAGTGATTTNAGGAGATCACTTGATGTGTTTCTTCAGCCACTAATATATGAGTTGCAGCAACTATGGGCTCAAGGTGCTGAAACATACGATGTTTCGTGTAAGGAAAACTTTCAAATGCGGGCAGTACTTATGTGGACAATAAGTGATTTTCCAGCATATGGTATGTTATCTGGATGGACAACGCATGGAAGGCTATCATGTCCATATTATCAAGATAACACTGATGCTTTCCAATTAAAACACGAAAGAAAAACGTGTTGGTTTGACTGTGACAGGAGATTCCTACCACCTGACCATCCATATCGTAGGAGTAGAAATTTGTTTACGAAGAACAAGAGGGTGTTTGACAGTCCACCTCTGGAAATTTGTGGGGCATATTTGTTGACATAGCTAAGGGATTTTGGTGCAGAAAGGACGCCAGACGTCGGTGGACATGTGCATTATCCGGTAGATGCTGTTGGAGAACTACATAACTGGCACAAAAAGAGTATTTTCTGGGATCTGCCATATTGGAAGGATCATCTGCTGAGGCATAATTTAGATGTCATGCATATTGAGAAGAATTTTTTTGACAATCTCATGAACACGATCCTTAACGTTCAAGGTAAAACAAAAGATAATTTGAAGTCAAGATTGGATTTAGTCGATATATGTGCTCGTCTAGAACTTCATGTTGATGAGAATGGTAGGGCTCCTTTTTCTATATACTGACTGGATGCAGAGGCAAAGGATGCGTTCTTTGAGTGGATTTTAAAGGATGTGGAATTTCCAGACGGTTATGCATCAAATTTGCGTAACTGTGTCGACAGAAACGAAGAAAAGTTTATCGGCTTGAAGAGTCACGATTGCCATGTAATGATGCAACGCCTCCTTCCGTTTGCCTTCAAGGAACTATTACCACGGAATGTTTATGAAGCAATTGCAGGGATAAGTGCTTTCTTCCGCGATTTATGCACGAGATCAGTGACTCTGGAAGATATTGAAAATTTGAAGACTAACATAGCTGTGATCCGGTGCAACCTTGCAAAGATATTTCCTCCATCATTTTTTGATGTGATGGAGTATCTTGTTATTCACCTGGCAAGAGAATTGGAACTTGGTGGTCTAGTGCAGTATAGATGGATGTATCTGTATGAGCGCTATATGTTCCATCTGAAGAAGATGGCCGTCCTATTTATTAAAAGGTTTTTTTTATATTACTGAAACTTTTTTTTGTGATTAAAAACAATTTTTTTAATTAATAAAGTATTTTTCCTATTTATTAAAAGGTTTTTTTATATTACTGAAACTTTTCTTGTGATTAAAAATGATTTTTTTAATTAATAAAGTATTTTTCCTATTTATTAAAAGGTTTTTTATATTACTGAAACTTTTTTGTGATAAAAAACAATTTTTCTTATTTATTAAAAGGTTGTTTTAATATTACTGAAACTTTTTGTGATTAAAAACAATTTTTAATAAATAAAGTATTTTCCTATTTATTAAAAGGTTTTTTTAATATTACTGAAACTTTTTTTTTTGTGTTTATAAACACCTTTTAAAATTATTACAAGTTATTTCAAAATCTTTTTTGTGATTAAAACCTATTTTGTATTTTAATATCATTAAAACTATTTTGTATTTTTTTCTGATTAAAACTATTTTTTAATTTTTTTTCTGATTAAAACTATTTTTAATTTTTTTGTGATTAAAACTGTTTTTACTTTTTTTTTTAATTGATAGGTCTACTGGAGATCAGAGTCGGCCTCGAGTTCGTCGTTCCGTACCACGAGGTTCTAGTGGTTCGGGGAGCCGCTCTCGGGGCTCTCAGGATTCTTCGCCGACGCAGGACATTCCCGATCCTCCAGTCGTTCCGGGAGCGATGACTATTGAACAGTTGGTTCAACAGCCCGGTCGTGAGCATCTTCTCTATCTCATCGAGTATCCGACGGGACGAGGTCAAACATGGTAATTAAGCGTTTTTTTTTCTTTAAGTGTTTATTCATTATTAATAATTTTATCCTTTTTGATAGGTTCAACAGATCCGGGAATGGGATCAGCTCATGGATCAACCGGATGATGTACTCGGACCTCAAGAAGGGATATCTGACGTTCACACACTTCCCTCCCGCCGAACAGGAGATGTGGTTTCGTCAGTTTTCGGTAAGTATTCTGCTTTTTAAGTTATATTTTCATCTTTAATATTAATATTATACTAATTGCATTTTTTTCAGCAAGAGTTTACCTGGCATCCCGATCATACGCCCATTTATCCGCAACGCCTTCATCCATAAAGTTATGGATAACTATGGGAAGCAGATCCATGAGTGGAAGCAGAAGTGGCGCATTAATAAGGTATCGGTTTATTAAATTATTTTTTAATTTATTAATTTATTTTTAGATTTATTTAAATATTTTTTTATTTATTAAAAGGTCCCGAAGTCGGTGAACGACACGGTTTGGAAGGACTTGTGTGAGCATTGGAAGAAAGGCGAGACGGCAGCAACCTCCAGCACCAACTCCACCAACCGCAACAGCGATCGTGGCGGTAAGGGCGTGGCCAAGCACAACTTGGGTGCCATGAGTATTGCCACTCTCGGAGATAAAATGGTAACTTGAATCTCTTTTTTTTTCAATTAATTTAAGTATTTTTATTTTATTTTTATTTTTATTTGTATGCATTTATTCTGATTTCTATTGTTTTTTTAACTTATATTTTTTTCTACGCGGAAGAAAATGATGGCGAGCCGGTTCATTCTTTCAATCTGTTGAAGCGGGCGCATACCAACAAGCATACCGGGGAGATTGATGATGGTCTTATCAAGGAGGTGGTTGACATGATCACCACTCCCAAGGACGACGAAGAGCTCCGTGTATCCCAGCTTCAAACCGAGCTCGACTCCACTTCGATAGCTTCAGTCTCCCTGTCCCGAGAACGAATCAACGAGATTGTTGAATCGGTAAGATGTTTTCATAAAAATTCAATTCATTTATTTCTTTATTTTTATTTTATAATATTTTTTATTACTAAAATTTGTTTATTTTCTTTTTCAATCGGTTCCAACGAAGAAGGGACGTTTGGTCGGTTTGGGTCGTCGATCCAAATCGGTTCCTCCTACATCACAACCGCCTATTGATCCAATGGTTATGGAGCAGCTGCAGGATAAGGATGACCGCATAGCTGCGTCGGAGGCGAAGATGGAGGAACAAGAGAAGGGGTGGGAGGCATCGAGGAAGCAGAACGAGCGCATGATGGAGATGATGAAGCGGATGTACCCGAACGAGCAATTCCCGTAGTTTTTTTTTTCAAAAACTTCGAATTTTTTATTTGAACTACTCTATTATCTAATATATTTTCAGTTTTCAATTTTATTTTATATTTTCTAATTTTAATTAAAAAACAATTAATTTATAATTTTTAAAAAAAAAGAGAAAATTTTTGGAAAATTCCAAGGAGCTGGGCTTCCTCGGAATTTTCCGAGGAATATGAGTCCTCGGAAAGTTCCGAGGAAGCCCAGTTCCTCAGAATTTTCCGAGGAATTTGAGTCCTCGGAAAATTCCGAGGAAGCCCAGTTCCTCGGAATTTTCCGAGGAACGGTTCTGTCGGAAAATTCCGACGACTACATGTCCTCGAAAAATTCCGAGGAAACAGGTCGTCGGAATTTTCCGATAACTTTTCTCCCTCAGAATGTTTCCGAGGACATCTCCATCGGTAAAATCCGAGGGAATTCCGAGGAAACCTCTGACGAAATGGTTTGTCGGAATGTCCTCGGAATTGTGGTTCTCGGTATTTCCTCAGAATTTTCCGAGGAAATTCCGAGGAAACCTGAATTTCGACGAAAAGTTTCCGACGACCGTTTTTCGTCAGAATCGCCGTGTTTTCTTGTAGTGGCTGAGATTTATCAATACCATTAAAACAGGAACATTTTTTTTTTAATGAATGATTTACTTTTTCCAAATTTACCTTTAATCTTATGAACAAATTTAATTTTTTACTGATGACAATTTTGTCTTTTCTTTTTGGGCCTAAAAACTATATACTAATGGGTTTCATTAATGATTCAGTTCACCTTCTAATTATTTCTGAAATTTCTTTAAAAATAAACTCATCAACCTTAATTGGCGTAGTTAGAGCTGGAAATTTTGATATTAACCCGCGAGTCTCGCCCCGTTTGACCCGCCATAAAACGGATCGATCGATTTGAAAAAACTAAGATGCGGGTGCGAGTCAAGTATATTTTACGCGGAACGGGTACAGATTGTTCAAATTTCAATTGCGGGTACCCGGTAATCCGCAAAAATAGAAACAATTTTGTTTTAAAAATTTTTATTTTCCAAAATATACTAAATTGCATTAAAATAATTATTATATTTTAAATATTAAAAATTTAATTAAAATATACTATTTAATATTAATTTTTAGAAAAAATAAAAAAATAATTATTTTTATTATTTAATAATTATCCGCGAGTCCTGTGGATTATCCGTGGATCCCATGGATTATCCGTAAAATTAAGTGGGACGGATGGAAATAAAATATATTTTCCTTGCGTGTCAAACACGTCAGGCAGGGCGAGTTTGACCCGCTTCCTAGCACCAGACGTAATTAATTGATATTATTTTCCCATAGTAAAACTACGCAATTACATACAATATATTTATATAGATATTGATGATAATAATAAATTAAAATATCCATTAATTTTTAAAAAGTTATATTAGATAATGATATTTTATATCATCAAAACAAAATATTTATCGATCCATCTGTAAATAAAACAACAAAAATGGTATCAGCGCTTTTTAAGCGCAGATCAAAAATCTAGTTTAGTTGTTAAAGCTGACAAACTCATCGACATATAGAAATCATGGCAAAAGAGACTTCAACCAGATAAACTAGCTCGCAACAATACACAGTAAATACAGGATTTGCTAGTGGAAAAAAAATCTACTGGTGGGAGATTTGCTAGACCATATAACAGTTAGAAGAGAAGAGACCATCTTTTACATGAAATGCTAACGTGGCCAGAATATCAAATGCTCTGCTTAGCCTTTTTGCGACACTTTAGTGAAAAGTCCAAACTGAATTACTTCCACACAAAAAAAAAAGACAAGAAACTAGAAACAAAGACAGCAACACAAGAAGCATTACAGCAAAACAAAAGGACAAGATTTGTAACTCTATAGAAACAAATTTAATTTGAATCAAGGTTGTTGCTGAGCATCCATGTAACCAGCATCAACAAGCACTTTCTCCCTCTTAGCAAGCTCAAGATCTTCATCAACCATCATCTTCACCAGCTTCTCAAACCCAACTTTCGGCTTCCACCCCAACACTTCCTTCGCCTTGCTTGCATCACCCTTCAAGTTATCAACTTCAGAAGGCCTAAAGTACCTCTTATCAATCTCCACATGATCCTTCCAGTTCAAGCCCAAGTACCCAAACGAAACCTCAAGAAACTCCTCAACAGTATGCGACTCCTCCGTGGCCACAACGTAATCATCCGCCTTCTCCTGCTGCAACATCATCCACATCGCCTCCACGTAATCCCCAGCGAACCCCCAGTCTCTCGACGCCTGTAGATTCCCTAGAAACAGCTTCCTCTGCAGACCAACCTTGATCCTCCCCAAGGCTCTCGTGATCTTCCTCGTCACGAAGTTCTCACCGCGACGTGGCGACTCGTGGTTGAACAAGATTCCGTTACACGCGAAGAGACCGTAAGCTTCACGGTAATTAACAGTGTACCAATGCGCAGCGACTTTGGACGCGGCGTAGGGAGATCTGGGGTGAAACGGCGTCGTTTCAGACTGCGGAGGCGGAGTAGCTCCGAACATCTCGGAGGATCCGGCCTGGTAGTACTTGATGCTCCGGCCGGTGTCGGAGGTGTGAGATCTGACGGCTTCGAGGAGGCGGAGAGCTCCGGTGGCGACAACGTCGGCCGTGTAGTCGGGGATCTCGAAGGAGACGGCGACGTGAGACTGCGCGGCGAGGTTGTAGACTTCGTCTGGCTTGATGACGTCGATCCAGCGGCGGAGGGAGGAGGCGTCGGTGAGATCGGCGTAGTGGAGCTTCATGAGAGCCTTGTCCACGTTGTGGGGGTCGATGTAGATGTGGTTGATACGCTGCGTGTTGAAATTGGATGATCGCCGGATCAGGCCGTGGACTTCGTAGTCCTTTTTGAGGAGGAACTCCGTTAGGTACGATCCGTCTTGGCCGGTGATTCCGGTGACCAGTGCTATCTTCCTAGGCATTTCGACGGCGGTGGCGGAATCGGATCTGGATCCGTTGTTTTCTGACGCCATTTATTTTGATTTTGGATCTGGATTTCGCGGTGGCACTACACGTCGTTGAGTTTTGTGTTTAAATAGGAGAGTGACGGCTTGGAGACGGAGAGGGTAATTTCGTCAATTTGAAGCGTTATTATTGGTTAAATCATCAATATGGGGTAGATTTCATTGCTGTCTGATGCGTTTTGTTTCCATAGTAACGCCTCACACGTTAATGGTTTACTCATTTTCTGGTCAAACCTCGTGAATGGTTTACGTTTACATTTATAGAATAGTCTTTGCATACTCTTACGTCCAAATCAAGAAATTTCTAAACATTTGCTAACTAATGTATACATTTTTTTTGTTACGATTTTAGTGCGACTAATTGGAAGAACATACTAGATTTTGACCCATCCTCGAAAGGCCAGGTATATTTTTTGTTTAATTTTTGGGTTTTCTACAAAAAAAAACCTTCAATATGATTTTTTTTTTTTTTGCAATTTAATCCCATCAAATCAAAAATCCACGGGCCAACCCTCCAAATCTCAGTCAAACCGTAATATAAACCATCTTTAATTCAAAAGTTGAATCCATCATGATTCGAACCCAGCAACACAACACAACTTGTAATGTTCGTAAACCAACTCGACTATCAGATATATTCGTATATTATTAAGACGAAACCATATATAGAGAAATTGTTGCTGTGACCTGAAACATTTAATTAAAAAGTGAATGAGCGGGTATTCAAACCCATTACCATGGCCCAACTTATCAAGCAAGCAAACCACCTCGGCCGTCAGAGACACTCGTTCATAATAACGACGGATCATATATATGATGTGTTTTTGTGGCCTAAATATATACAATCATCGAAACTTCTTCCCCTCTTTAATCTTTGCTTCTGTGACCTGAAATAAAATGATAATCAAACAATATAACATCTTACACATATACAAACTTAGCATCAAAAGTCTTACACATAAATTTAATAAAAGTTTTCCTCATAAGTCTAACAAAAGAAACACATCATACACTATTAAAAGTGGCAAATGAAGCTCTCTCACCATGTCCACATCACCAAATATATTTGGCCAATAATAAGGCTTTAAACAGCCACGTCATGTTTGGTTTGGACATGCGAAACCCGATTTCGATTTAATCTACCAAAACCCGGTTTGTTTTCGGTCAATGTTAGGTTACAAAAAAAAATAAGATAAAGTAAATGTTTTTATATATACAATCCAAAACGATCATCATCATTACTCCATGACCAAACAATAGAACTACCAAAGTTTTCAGAACTTATAATTACTAACAAAGAAATCATGGAAAAAAATAAATCGTAAATATGTTTATATATTTGTTTAAAAAAATATATATATATATATTTCTTTCTAGTTTTGGTGTTCCGATATCTTTTATATATAGTAGAACCTCAATAAAATAATAATGTTAAGACTTAGATATTTTAACACTTAACGTACATATTAATTTACCAAAAAAATAAATAAATAAACCAAACAGAAGGACTTGTGTACTTCATTGTACTTCAAATTTAAATGTAACGTACAACTAATATTGTAATTTTAAATACTATCCTCAGTTTACATACTTTAATCCTAAAAATAAAAATTGAAATTTAAGATTTTATCTGTGATCCATTTTGACAATTTCTATAATTTTCATTCCAACTTATAACTAATTTGAATATTTGAATGTCTACAGTTTTAAAATTAAGTGTATTAAAATTCTTTAAAAAGTAATTTAGAAAAGAGATTGGATAATAAAACAATTTAAGAGTCAAAAAAACTTAACAATATTTAATTGATGTATTTTCATGTATTTTATTAGTTAACAAAATTAGATAGAGTTTATTACTTAAATATAAACTTAGACAAATCAATGAACATAATAGTACAAAATTCTTTAAATAAATAAACTATTAAAATATAAAATATGCGCGTAGCTGTTCTTCAATTCTATGTGGTATATCGTATACTCCCTAAATTTGTTACTATTAAAAGGGGCAAATAAAACCCTCTCACCATGTCGACATCACCAAATATATTTGGCCAATAATAGGGCTTTAAACAGACACGTCATGTTTGGTTTGGGCATGCGAAACCCGATTTTGATTTTGGTCCGAATATCACGGTTTAATCTACGGAAACCCGGTTTGTTTTCGGTGAATGTTAAGTTACAAAATAAAAATAAGATAAAGTAAAAGCTTTTATATATACAGTCCAAAACAATCATCATCATTACTCTATGACCAAACAATCGAACTACCAAAGTTTTCAGAACTTATAATTACTAACAAAGAAATCTTGGAAAAAAATAAATAGTAAATATGTTCATATATTTGTTTATAAAAAAAAAATATATATATATATATATATATATATATATATATATATATATATATATATAATAGAACCTCAGTAAAATAATAATGTTAAGACATATACTTAACGTACATATTAATTTACCAAAACAAAAAAAATTAAGATTTTATCGGTGATCCATTTTGACAATTTCTATAATTTTCATTCCAACTTATAACTAATTTGGATATTTGAATGTCTACAGTTTTAAAATTAAGTGTATTAAAATTCTTCAAAAAGTAATTTAGATAAGAGATTGGATAATAAATTAATTTAAGAGTCAAAAAAACTTAACAATATTTAATTGATGTATTTTCATGTATTTTATTAGTAAACAAAAATTAGATAGAGTTTATTACTTAAATATAAACTCAGATAAGTCAATGAACATAATAGTACAAAACAGTTTTAAATAAATAAACTATTAAAATATAAACTATACGTGTAGCTGTTCTTCAATTCTATGTGGTCTATCGTATACTCCCTAAATTTGTTACTATTAAAACAAATATCAAGACAAATATTTGTTAAACAAATATTTAATGATAGTTTGAGTGAAAAAATTTACTTCTCTTCGGGGGAAGGGAGTTGGTTGAAGATCTCTTTGTAGACTATGTTCTTCACTTTCTGCCGGTGCGAATCCTCTGCTTTGATGATTTTCAGTCCAGCTTTGCTTGTTACACGCGAGAGAGCCACGTAGAGTTGACCATGAGAAAATACCGGATTAGGTAAATATAATAGAATGTCTTTCAAGCTCTGGCCCTGGCTTTTTGTTGATTGTCATTGCGTAGCACAATCTGATAGGGAATTGCTGCCGGCGTAGAGTGAACGGTAGCTTTGTATCCTCATGCAAGAGAACAATCCGTGGAATCAAGACTTCTTTTCCAATGTGCGAGCCAGTGATTATCTCTGCTTTTAGTACTCGTTCACCTACATGGGTCAGGATCATACGGGTACCATTGCATAATCCTTTCTTTTGGTTTATGTTTAGCAGAAGCATAATCGGGGCCCCAACCTTGAGAGTGAGTTTATGGGAAGGCAATCCCGGGAATTCCAAGGAATTAAGAAACTCAATCGCGTATAACGTATTGTTTTGTACAGACCGAGTTTCCGATACCTCAAAACTATCGCGGCTGTAGTAGTCTCGTGAGTCCCCCTCTGTTCTGGAGATGGTATATGCATTGATCTCATTGACCGTCTCATTCCGCGGGGTGAGTATAGCTCTGTGAGTGTATGAGTCCTGAGCAGCCTTCATTTTGCTGAGGTCTCCATACGCATCATTGACAACTTGTTTTAAAGGTTCGTCATTAGCCGTTTGGACCAAGGAGTTATCAACAGTTATCATTTGTTCGTGGTAGCCATCATCCTCATCTTCTTGTTCTGATTGTGGACGACCTTCCCCAACGTTGAGAAGCCACTCAGAGAACTCTTTCTCGTCCTGGTTGACCCGCATATTTTTTTTTAAAGAGAACTTGTGGCAGCTTTCCCAGAAATATGAGTGACTTATATAAGCTGAGACAGTTTCAGCTCTACTGCCCTGTGGGATCACCGGTAAAATCTGCCTGAAATCACCACCCAACAAAACCGTTTTACCACCAAAAGTCTGATCCTTTGCTGCTGGATTTTTCTTCGACATTATGTCTTTCAGCGTTTTGTCCAGTGCTTCAAAAGCATGCTTGTGTGTTGATAAAGGGTTTTTGGTCCCTTATGTTCAAATCAATGTACTAGAGTAAGTAGAGTGTCAATCCATTTCTGAGTGTAGTGATCAAAGAGGATGCAAGTCAAATGCTTAATCTAAATGCAATCAAGAGGGGGTTTTGGTATGGTAGCAAGTAACATACAATAAGGAATGCAATGAAATATCTAAAACTATCAATCAATGGATGAGAGATGAGACAAGGGGCAAGGGTATTGACTTTGGGTGATTGAGAATCCAATCTAGAATGCTAAGTTAAACAATCAACTAGTCTTATAGGTCTAGACACTTCAATAGACAAACTCTTTCTCAAGATGGATGCCCTTTTGCTTTCAAGCTTTAGGCATCAAATCTCTTTGGCCTAAATCAATCAAACAAACCTTAAGAATAAGTCTACTA